AAAAGGACAAACATCACTTCTTTTGTATTCCTGTCCAAAATGCACAATATGAATTCAATCACAATGAAACATCAGACAAACCTAAATTCTAAGAAAATAAATGGCCTGTACTTCTCAAAAAGGTCAAGGTCTTGAAACACAAAACTGGACTGAGGGATTGTACCAGATTATAGAAAACTAGAGAAATGTGTCAGTTAAAATGCAATGCGTGATCTTCAAGTGGATCCTGGACAAGAAAAAAAAGGTGTTTTGTTTTTTTTTTTTTGGTTTATAAAAGACATTCGTGCAATAACTAGTGAAATCTGACAACATCTGTAGTTTAAATAACAGTACTGTATTAACACTGTTAGTTTTGTGATTTCAATCATTTTACTACGGTTATAGAAGAAATAAACAGAAGAGTAAAAAAAGTAGTAAAAGAAAGAGTATTGTGTGTGTGTGTGTATGTGTGTGTGTGAAAGAGAGAGAGAGAGGAGGAGAGAGGAAGGACACATTATAGACAGAAAATAAAAAGCATGCAGCAGAATATGTTGACATTTGAGGAATCTTCGGGAAGATTATGCAGAAATTCTTTGTACTATTTTTGCACTTTTTCTGCAAAACTATTTCAAAATTAAATGTTAAACATGCACACACAGAATGATCCCACAGCACCAATGCCACCACTCTACCTAAACACTCGTCACGGCATTAGCTGCTCAAAGCCTCCCATGCCTGTCCACTTGACTCCGAATAAAAGCTGGGGCCCGTCCTATGACCTGCCAGGCCACGGGTGAGCCCCCTGCCCTGTACCTGGTGCCCTCCTGCAGCCACTTCAGACTTGTTCTTGCTCCCAGTCTTCAGACACACCAGGCAGGCTCCCAGCTGAGGGCCTTTGCCCAGCTGTTCTCTCGGCCTGGCATGGATCCCAGACATGTGCCTCCCTGCCTCGCCTGGGGTCTCTCCTCAAAGGTTGTCTTCACAACGAGGACATCCCTGGCCAAGCCACTTCAGATTCCTCTGTCACCGCCACCTGTGCTCTTCTTTTCCTACTGAATTTTTGCTTCTTAGAGCTCAGCATTTGCTCCCATAAGTTGTATTTTCCAAATTTATCTTCTATCTCCTCTCCCCCACTAAAATATACGCTCAGAGAGGACAGGTATGCTGTCTGTTTTGCTCACTGCTGTATCCCAGTGCCTAGAACTGAGAGTGGAGTGACGCAGGCATTTGTTGAATGATTGAACAAATGAAGACTTGAAAAATGAATTTTTTAATATTCTTAAGTTCTGTATTAGTTGATATAGACTGCAAAGCCAAAGAAGACTGTTCAAAGTTGAAATCTATATACTCACCAAGGGAAGAACAATTATCCTCTACTGCATCAAAGCTGCAAGCATATGTGTGAGCAGGAACATAAGCAGCAGATGTATTTAGAAGTGGGTCCCAAACAATGACATTATAAATGACATCTTGTCCACGGAGGGAGGAGAAGGAAACACTTGTCTTATCATTAGCTGTTAGAGTAACCACCTGAAGCCAAAGACACCATGTGATTAGTGTTTAGGTTAAAAAAATAAAACCTATTCTATTACAATCCCACCTATGTGTGATGTTAAATCGTAACATTAAATTATAATTGTTGGTTAAAACATACAGCCATCCATTTAGCTTTGTCCAAAGATCGTCCTCCAGTTTGTATGTCCTAATAAATTCTTACACAAAATGGTTCTAAACTTTCTGCATTGTTAAATGTTAATAATTTAAGTAAAATATATAACAATGTGTAAATGCTATTTAGATCGCACCTACCATTAGATTGAAGGATGACCTTGTATGTTAGACTGCTATCAGGCACCTTTCAAGACATAAAGATAAAACCTAGCCTTCCACAAAAATGTACAGCATGAGCCTCAAATTTAACATGCCTAGGAATCACCCGGGGATCTCATAAAATGGAAATTGTGATTCGGTAGGTCTGGAGTAGAGCCTAGGAGTTGGCAGCTCTAACAAACTCCCAGGTGATGCCAGTGTTGCTGGCCCATGCCCACACTTGGAGCAGGAAGAATTTACGGGGCTTCAAAAGCTAAGAGAAAATTTTTGCTCCAAGTTAGAGAATTTGAGTCTGGGTTTAACTATTAATGACCATGTGCATATCCTTAAATAGCTTCTCATTATTTTTTCCCAAAACACTATAACCTTCATATTTGCCAAAATTTTAAATCTGAATACATAGAAATGTATCATCCATAGCTCCAGATTACTAGGCCACATAAGTGGCTACCACTGAAAACTAACAAAATTTACATGCATCTCCTCAAAGACCAACATTACTTTGGGATGTCACCAGCAAAGACTCCCCAAATAGCAGAATAAAGAGAATGAAATTAGAATCCCAGAAAGAAAACCAAGAAAACAGTAAAGAAATAAGTTCCTGCTAGTTTCTCAACTCTTATAAAGGTGTCACAATCCGGCCATGCAGATTGTGAGAATCAGATTTACCTTGATAGCATTGGCCTTCACCTGAGGTACCTCGGCCATTCTCTGCAGATGATTTAGGAAGTCCTCTTCAGCAAGGTCATTCTCAGGAAGAAAATACTGATAGACATCATACTGCAGCCTCCACCTAGAATCTCGTCCTGTCCCACGGTCACATGACGGAGGATCTGTGCCTCTAAAGTCAATCAACAAAACTAGACATCAGTCTCTTGTGGTGCACATCCCATCTATGAAAAGGAACCAAAAGCTCTAATTTCAAACTTCTGCAAGAAGGATTCTATTTTGGCATTATGAGGAAAAGAAACACTGAGAGGCAGTATGGCTAATGTCAGTTGGACTGGAGTCAAATGCTAGCTTTGCCATTCGTTAGCTGCGGGTATGTGTGCAAATCACTTAATCTCAGTAACCCTTCGGGAAGCTGTCTATCAAGTAGAACAATTGCCTCTTCTTAGTAAAATAGGATTAAACTACAAAGAACAGAGAACACTAAGCAGTATGGATGATGCTTGGGGAGCATTCAGATGTTACTCAAATATTAACTACCATAACTAATAAAGGAGAAACTAGGGAAGAGTTTTAATTAAGATACTAAAATCATTACAAAAATGTGAGGGTGTTTCACAGATGTAGAATGCTTTACACATTTAAAACTCTTATGGAATCTAAGATGTACTTCTAAGCTCATAATAAAGGCTCAACATCTGGCTCTCCCTAAGAATGGGAGGGGACACTGATCAGTAAATGACAGCTCAAGTATTAGTTATGATGTTTAAATTGCTTCCATTCCAAAAAACAAACAGTTCAATTGTACTGATGAGAGCTATGGATTTCGAAAGAGTTCACTGAATTATACAACTGCTCGCATGGTGTCCTAAAAGCAGTTACAGGAGTTAGGAGATAGACAGACCTTGCATAGCCTAGGTTCGCTGGGGCAAATTTGATGGTTGTTTCAAAGAAATCATACTCCAAGTAAATGTTGGGATCAATATCTAAGTCAAACTCCAAATTACAGCCTCCGGGGATAGGATCTGGATGGAAAAATAAGGATGTTATTTGACATGCAATTCTTATATAGTCAAATCATACATCTCATATAGAAGTTAAATACGTGGTAGAGCTTCTAGTTTTGTACTACTTCACGAACTGAGGCTAAGGGCACTAGAACAGGGGTCAGCAAGACTTTTCTGTGAAAAGCCAGACAGTGAATATTTTAGGCTTCGCAGGGCTGACGTCTCTGTGGCAACTATTCAGCCGAGCCCTCGTGGCATGAAAGCAGAGACCATCCATGAGGGAATGTGCACGGCTGTGTTCTAATAAGACTTTGTGTGCAATGCAGGCAGCAAGTTGAATCTGGTTCATGGCCTGTAGTTTGCCAACCTCTGCTCTTGAGTGAGTGGAAGAGGTCAGAAGAGACAGAGATTCTTCAGCTAGAATCCATGAATGGGTTTCAGAGGCTCCATGAACACCCTGAAACTGTATGTCAAATGTTGAATGTGTGCCTATTCTAAGAAGAGAGGTCTTCTGTAGGTTTTTGGGGTCTATGACACCACAGAACAGCTTCAGAACCCAGGGACAGAGAAAAAAAACCACTTCCAAAGAGAAAAGGAACTCCATGGGTAACAGGAAGTAGAGTCCACTTTACATATGCTTTTTCCAACAGAAGGTACCACCCTCACTGCTGTAAGAGTCCATGTATATATAGAAGTGTAAAGTAGAAGACCGCAGAAGACTCCCAAGACCGTGTATCAGAATAGCATTTGGATATTTAATCAAACACAAAATAAATTGTGGGCATTTCATTTTCACTAATCATGGGGATAAAACACCTCTGCATATTAGGAATCCTGTCGTGACCTTTAAGCATGACAAAATTTAAGCCACATGACATTAAGTTCAACTCCATAGGAAGAACTATATATAATGGACTCAAGAGAGAGGCTGAGATAAGACAGAACAGGGTAAACCAATTTAAAGACTGATAAGACCTCAACTTCATAGGCTCAGCCAATCATTTCCACAGCTGGGTCTTGATTTCCATAAGATGTTGAAATTCCGATGAGTGACTTCCCTTGGCTAGATTTGGAATGAAGACACCCAGGGTACACATTATGTTTCAGTATCGTTTGGAGTACTTCTTGGAATTCTGTGTTCTTCTTTCATACTCTCTTTTTCTTGCATTTACAAAAATTTACCACACCCGGGAAAACGATGTGCAATTGAGATCCACTGCTCATCATTTTTCTTTGTACATTGTCCCTCATGGGAACTTAAAGTGTATGTTTTCCTGTTAGGTAATTACCCTGAGACAGATAACACTGTCTAAGAGTAAAAATTCCCCCACTTTTCCTTTACACCTCAATCTAGTTTTTATCCCCTTTGCGGCACTAAGATGACTCTGATCAAAGGCCACCACTGGCTCCCAGTTACACTATCACGTGGATACTTTGTCACCTCCCCTGGCCTCTCAGCAATGCTTAGGGCATTGCCCCCAGGCTCCATACTTAGGGCAGAGCCCCCAGGCTCTCCTCTTACCTCCCTGACCACTCCTTTGTCTTACGCTTTTTCCGCAGCTGTTAGCATCCCCCAGAGACAGTGCCTTGCACGTGGTAGGCACTGTGAAAGCTATAACTTTCTGCTGCTATTCCCCCACCTAATCTTCAAGTACACGCCTGGACAATCTCACTCATGCCCAAGGCTTTTACAACAGTCTTTCAGTTGGATATCTAAACTCACCCCTTCACTCCAGGCCCTCCTTTTAAACTGCCTATGAATTTCAATCCAGACATCCTACAAGCATCTCAGTCACTGTATCCCAAACTGCCGTCTACGCAACCCCCACACCCTCCAACATCCAGCACCACACAGCTCTATCTTTGCCCCAATACCGCCTCACCTTCTCCCTGCTGGCCAAACGGAGAGCCTAAGATCCCTCCTTTTATAATCCATAACCACCACTCACCATGTCTTATCAATTCTCCCTTCCAAATATCTCAAATCCAGCCCCTCTACTCCATCCCCGCTCTCATGGTCTCTGTTCAGATCCTCATTCCTGACTTGAAGCCCTCCAAGGTGTGCGGGTCTGCACTCTGCTACACCATCTCCAACCCACTCCCCACACTGCTTCCAGAGCTAACCTTCTAAGAGATGACGTGTATCACATCATCCCAATGCATTCCCCCAGTCCCTTCCTGGGCTCCCAATCACCACACGTTCTTTGACTCCCCTTCTATTAATTCTTTTGATATACTGTACTTGCAATAAGCATTTTTAATATGATAGTTTCCCCTAAATTTTGATGAATATATCCCACATTCCGGAGAGTAAGAAGAGGGAGTCGAAGACAGGAAGGTTACCTCTTTCTGAGTAGGAGAGCGTAATGGCCACGTTTAGAACAGACTCAGCATCCGCAGTCTCCAAGTACCAAGTGCTCATGTTCTGCTCTGGCAGAAGAATGAAAACCAGGCCTCTGTCGGTGCCCGTCGCTGAGGCATTGAGAAGGGGGGTCTGCGACAGCAAAGAAAAGCGTCATCATGAATAGGGAGTTGGGCAAAATATTTAAATGCATGTCCTAGTCCAAACCTTCTCAAAACAAATGGAATTAAAGAATTCCTTTCATCTCTATGTGCATGTGCCCACACGTAAACATGCATAAACTGTTTAAAATATATGATTTTTGATCAGGAGTAGCAGATGCATGGTAAAGTTTCCAAGCTTTTCAACCCCTTAAATTAAGATTTACTATGTCAACCACTAAGGCTACAAAGGCTATGTGGCATTACAAAACTAAAACTTAGTAATGAGTTTGAGGTCTCTTAGTCAAGGGAAGACAATCCTTGGATGGGGGAAGGCAGGGCCTAACGAGCAGTGAGCGCAGTGCCCGAGGGATCTGGGGCAAGAGTGGGTATAGAGCGTTAGATGGGCCTGACTGGCTGGGTGCAAGCTAGGCTAGCAGAGGCTGAGGTGGATGATTGTAATGGGCAGATGTTAGATTTACTTGGTAGATTTTCCCCATAGGTGCGGGCTGACTCAAGATTTGTGGCACGAGCCAGGCCCCTGTTTTGCTCGTCCTGATATACAAATTAACTTTATCAAGGCAAAAAACATGAGCCCTACCCTCAAGGAGTTCAGTTTCTGGAAAGCTTTTTTTAAAAACTGAGTTGTAACTGACATATCATAAACTACACATAAAATATAGCATATGGTAAGTTTTGATATATGTAAACACCTGTGAAACCACGACTCCATATCCAGAGAGGGTACATAGGTGTCACCCTCTTTGTGCCCCTTTCTACCTTTCCTCACATCCCATCCCCCATGTGCTTGGAAAGCTTTTTGACTAGCAAAACACTAGTCTAAGAGAATATTTTCTTAAACCTAAGGAAATGGGAAGGAAAAAAGTGCCAGATGGTTTTCACTTTGACTAGCATAAGGAAGACTGACTCACATGCTAATTGATGAGCTATACCAACTGCCGCGATGATCCAAAATGCCATGCTTCACGAGAGAGGGCAGAGGAAACAGAAACAATTCTCTTCTCACAGACCAGCCGTTTCCAGAGCTGTGTGCACTTCTGGTCATTGTCTGCCTACTATTATAAACTCAGGGAGAGCTAAAGGCAGCCCAAAAAAGGGTCAGTGTTATGACTGAAGATAACTAACATCTGCTCTGCATGAAAATTGAGGCTCAAGATAATCTTCATCTAGTCCACTTCTGTCACATAGTTATGTTGAAAATCCCTTTGTGCAAGCTCCCTGTCCGCAGATATAAAAACAGGCATTATAACTACTTTGTTGAGCTGTCATGAGAATTAATGAACTATATATAGAAAACTAGGAGCCCCAGAGGCCCCATGAGTTTCCAGAGATCCCCAGGAAATTATACAGATATATCTGTACATTTTGCAAGATTTCAGGAGATTCAAAGTCTATGGCCCTAGGAGCTACTGGCCGAGCACACAGTAGGCATGTAATAAATACAAAAGCCTTCTTTTCTCCATCCTTTCTCTTCCTTCAAATGCCTTTGTGTTATGATGTTATTAAGAAGGAAATCATCTATGTGTCATGTACTACACCTCCTATGTAAGGGCCTGAACAGGAAGTTTCCTTTTGAATTTAGTGCCAGCAAAAACTTGGGTGTCCCCCGAAGGACTGACATGTTCCTTCCTTCTAAGAAAGCTATGAAATTTAACCTGCTTTGACTTCTGCTCTGGTTGCAAAGAAGACAGGCAAAAATCAGTGTATGGGTCATAGCCACCGTTATCTCTTATAATGACCATAATTTATTCTTTCATCTTTTCCTTGATCAAACCCTTCTATTTCTACTCCATTTACTAACACACACACATACACTTCTAAAATCCTCCTAGGAGAGGCAAGAAGGCAGGAATAAAAAAATACAAAATATTCATTTGAAAGATAATACGACCACTGCAGAGAAAAAGATACATGAACTGGACCAAGCTTTGCTGAGCCAGTTCCAGAATATTACAAGATAGACTTGGGACAAATAAAAAGAAGCACAAGTTCATACAGAGTGAAATTCATTTATTAGTCTAAGGGCTCATATAGGCTATATATAAATAGATTTGTAAAAGGTTAGCATAAATGACAGATCCTTAATAATTGAAGCTCATCTGCAGCAGCTGAAAACCTTCACAAAGCTGAGGTTGGGGGTAAGGAGTTGATGATAATCTTGCAATACAGTCTTAAACAAAGCTGCATGCACAGCCCTGGGCTAGATGAACTCAGTGTTGGGATTTCTGTGTTTTCATGAGACCCCAAAGAATAAAGTTGATCCTATAGGGATCTCAGTAAACTTCAACACTGAAGAATGGCTGAGCAGCAGAAACCTTTCCATGCAAATGTGTTCTCGGGTAAAAATCATTAAGGACCCAGGACAGTAAGAGAAAAAAAAAATGGTGGGAAATGATGAGGGAAGCTCAAGTGCGGACAGAGGATATTTGGCCCAGCTCCCCCACCCTCTGCAAACCCAGCACTCTGTCGTGCCCTCTTGAAGTCAAGGTCGCCAATTCCAGAAATGCCCTGAGGTATACCCCTCTCAGCCAGTCTAACTCACTAACCTGACAGGACTCGATCTGGACTTTTTTTTTAAATGTAAGACATAGTGTTAAGCATAAAGAGGTATCAAATCCTAATGTTTATACTAAACACAAGGCCCTAAAACAAAAACGGAAATATCATTCCTTGTACTTACCTTAAAAAAAGAAACTGTTGTATTCTGATACTGTGAGTGTATTTGGAAAATAAGAAAAGTCACATTGCTGGAAATATGACGCAAAATAGCTTCCTCTGGAAAGGCCCGGGCGAGCCTGAACTTTCTAAATTTCCCCAAAGAAAATTCAAGAAGACCTACAGTGGGAGAAACATTGCATTGTAACATTTGTACCTCTAATGCCAGTGTGTGGAAATCACATACATAAACTTACATGCACTGCTACTGTAATCCTCAGAAAAGCCCGCCAAGATAAATATTGTTATTATTTCCCCTATTTCACTGATGAGGACAATTAGAGAGGTGAAGCAGCACCCCCAGGGTGACTCAGCTAGTAAGTGGGGGAACTGAGGACTCAAATTGGAAGAAAAGTATTTCAAAAGATGTGAACAATAATACTTAGGATGCTCAAGGAGCCCCACTCCCAGGGCCCAGAAAGTCACCCATCTGGTAGCAGCAATAACAATTCTACGTAGAACAGAGTTCCTGCATTTAAGGATTTAACAACACTGAGGAGTTACAAACAACCGTGAAGGCACTGGTATGAAATATAGTACCATCTAGTGACTTATGGAGTCAGCCCAGCCTAGGGAGACACAGGTAGCTTCAATTTTACCCCACCATTTACTAGCAGTGTGATCCTATGCAAGTTACTTAATTCCTTTCAATCTCAATTTCTTCATCTGTCAAATGGGACTATACTATGTAGCTTGCAAAGGAAGGTGCTGCCAATATTGGCAAAGAAGTCTGCCAAGTGTCCCCACCAGGTATTTCTATGTCAGGGGTGAACCACAGGCATTCTGGAGAAAGAAGCTTTTTGTTTGATTGTTTAAGGATCAAGTTCAGAGTCCATGTAAAAGGTAGTTTGTAACAGTTTTCCAACACCTCATCCAGGCGTTTCCCATCCGTCTTCTTGCTTCTACTGTCTGGTTGTGTTTTACTCACTCACATGGTTCTGTGTGTGTGTCTCCCAACTGCACACCAGTTCTTTATTTTTGCAACCTAATTCTCAAATAATTTATGAAATAGGGTGCTCTCACTTGTGTGGTCCTGCATTCCCATCTTACCCACTACCCTAGTCAGGACTTCTCTACATAAATAACAGGAGAGCTCCAAAGCACTGTATTAGTAGTCTTTGGGGTTCAAACCTAAAAACTGAAAAAAAAAGATTTGAATTTAATATAGGTGAAAAAGAGTTGATGAGGTAAAGATGAGAATTTACTGCAGTCCCATTACTGAACTATTATGTTTTATTTTAGAAGGAAATTAAGAGTCAGGTGGTAACAGAAAATACTCCAGATACCTAATAATTCATAACTCATTTTGATGTCTCATTTCCCAACAGGGCTAATTTTTAAAACATTTTTTTAACACAAGTATTCCAACTCAATAATTAAAAAAGAAAAAGACTATCAAGAATGGCTAACAAAGAAGACAAACAGAACATACAAGTCGTGCTAGGACTAGAATAAAGGTTACTCTTTATAAATTTCCCCCAAACTCTGATGCTATTATATTACCTTTATAACTTAACGTTTTTTAAAAATTGATTATAGAAAGAAAGACAATTTAATGTCTAAAAATTCAGAGAAAATTTTAATAGTTGTAACAATGACAAATGAGGATGGTGTATCTCCTCCTATTTATGTCACCAGAAAAACTATACCTTTTATGTGGAACAAAACCCCAGCCACAATATAAGTTAAAATATTAAGGACTATTTAACAGAATCTAGGGAGGGAAGTCTGAAAAGTGAGTTGTTATTGTTTTTTTTTAAAGGAAACCAAAAAATTTTTTCTACATTTCCCAGGCCTTTCTATCACCATGATTACTTTATCAGAAAACCAAATTATATATAAAATTCATTGGGTCTCATTAATGGCACTAAAACCATTTCATCTATTGCTCTTCTGATGCCATCTATCTTCCACCTTCCAATTCTTAAAAATATCCAAAGTCTAGCTGTTAAACTAACAGCAGTATGAGTTTGTTTTCCTAGGAATTCATTGAATTTCCATTCTTTAACTGTCCAAAGTACTCAGCTCATTGACCATCCTGCCTTTTCTAATTAACATTTGCTGCTTTTCCCTTTTTTCTTTCATTTCCTCTATTTGACAAATATTTATTAAGTCCTTATGGACTAGTCAATCTACCTAGTAAAGACTAAAACTAGTAAAGAAAATTCATAAAGGTTATTAACAGCTTCTGTAATTATCATTTCACTTTGCCCTGAGTGTATCTTAGAAAGTGTTTTGGTAATCACCATGTCTATCTCCGATTACATGGTCCTTGAATCAAAACACTACCCAGAATCTTCTAAAGCCCTGCAAGAGACTGAAGCTATCGATTAATGAAGTCTTGGTGGTAAACTTTCCTTACCCTCCCCCATTACCCTATCACACAGGGGTGAAGATAAATCACAACTCAGAGATACTTAGAGAACCAGAACTTTCAGAGCTTTAAAAGACAGTAAGGAAAGACAGGACCACAGAAATTAAAATGTATTTTTAAATAACTGCTAACTCAAGAAAAGAAGTAGGAGTATTAGAAGTAGGTATCGTTAGGAGCATTATTTTAAATGGTTTTTCTTTTCTTTGCACTTTGTACTGTGTGTAAAATGTCTATAGTGACAGTGAGGTGTTCTTATCAGAAAGAAATTGCAGTTTCAAAAAACCTCCATTCTTGATGGCATCAAAACACAGATTCTACTCAACTCTTCACCTGAAAGGTATAAAAAAAGGACACACCCGAGACAAAAACCGGTAACATTCTCTCAACACTTCTGTCATCTATTTTGTTATCCCTTAAAATGGTATTGTTTTTCTATATCATAGGCAATCCTTATTAAAGAAAGAAATGCAGAGAAAGCTAATACTTCCACCTTTAGATTAACAGAAGTTTGAATTTTAAGGGAGCCCAATTTCTCAAGTTTTTCCTTTACTCTTAGTCCTTTTTGTGTCATTTAAAAGAGTTTTCCCAGCATATTGGGAGATCATGAAGACGCATTCCCAAGCTAACTTCTGGAACAGTGTTTTTTCCTTCCACATTTAAGTTTAAAATTGATTTTTATGCATGGTGTGGGGCAGGAGGCCAAGGTTCATTCTGCCATGTTTATCCAGTTGACATAGCAACCTTTATTGAAAACACCACTGTTCCCCTACTAATCTGCAATTTCACCTTCCACATAGGTGATAATACCTGTGGATTTGTTTCTAGACTCGTAATTGTGTCCCACTGGTCTATTTGTCTATCCTAACGCCAATATTACACTACCTTAATTTCTGCCCTAAATTTGTTTTTCCTCTTCTAAGACGTCTTGACTATTTTTAATCTTTTTTCACTTCCACATAAATTTTAGAAAGCAGCTGTCACTTCCTGCAAAAATAGCCTATTGCGATTTTTGAATGGGATAGCAATGAATGTATTAATTTAGTGAGAAAAAATATCTTTATTACATAAAATTTTCAAACTTATGAATCTAAGATAGTTCTCTAATTATCTGGTTTCTCAACTTACCTCAGGAATGTTATACGGTTTCTCTAGGGGCCTTTATACATCCCATTACAATTATGCCTAAATAGATTGTTTCTTAATGTTCCTTTAATTTTTGCTTTTAAAATTTCAACTTCTATTTGTCTATTCACCCATACACCTTTTTTTTTTTAAAGTTCTCCAGGGGATTCGGATGTTCAGCCAGGTATGAGAACTCCTAACACAATGCGTGATGAATTAGGAAAGGATCAATATATTTTTGCCTATTCTTAGTTATCTTTACCTTCAGTGTGAAAATCCTTTGGCAGCATTACCTTGGCATGCAATAACCATTTCACAATTTTTCTAGAAGGCTGCATATTAACCAAACCAGTTGTGGCTTTGTCACATCTGACGTCTTAGTGCCTAGTGCAGTACCAGTCACCTAGTTGTCACACAGATGTTTGGTGAGTGATAATTTCTCACAGTGAAATGGAGATAACTGTGCTGCACACATCACTTGGCTGCTGAAAGTTATCAAGCAAACTGGAAAAAAAAATTTTTAGCTGTCCAGTGCTTCCCCATAAAGTATCATTATTAACTTCTATTAGCTTGCCACTGTTTCAGAGGCTCATCTCCTTATTTAAAAACAAGTCAAGCATTCAGCATAGCCCTATAAATAACTAGTAGGAAGAAAGGGACTATAAATGCCTGGCACATTCATCATAAGCATCAACATGAGAACTGCCATAGAGTGACAAGGAAAGATACTGCAAGTCGAGACATCGTTAACAATAGTCTGGCAGAAACTGCAATTAAATTTCTACTCACATGAACACGCAGCACAAAAGAAGACACGTATCCAAAGTATATCTCAAAGAAGTTAGCAAGACCTTAACTTCACCTCTAACCCATCAGGAGAAGGATTCACCAGAGACATTTTATGGGGCATAATGAGATTTTATGACTGTGGGGGTGGAAAGGAAAAAGCACATAAAGGGATATTACAGAGCAAAGGCTAACATGGAGACAGAGTCCTCTAAAATGCAATGGCTCTGTTTTTTCTGCCAAAAATATTTTTTGCCACCTGACCCATAGCCGGGTACTATACCCTTCCTCCATTCCTACCCAGAGTCCCTTTTTCTGACAATTCTATTCTAAAGAAGAGCTGCCCAAGCCTAATCTTTTCCTTTTCTTTCCCAGTCACATCCTAAACTTGCAACCTTCAAATTTTCCAACTCTTCCTTTTTCCTATTTTACTAAAATTTGCCTCCATTGTTTGTGCTTTGACACAACCGCCACATTTTAGGAGAGATCTGTGAAAGCTTGGTGTTCGTAATTCTCTTCGGATGGACTATTAAAAACAAAAACAGTCAGTTATTTGAGCTCATCAGCATTCAACTGCCCCTCCCAATTTCACATTTATATCTTCTTATGAATTTTCATTAGCCCTTAAAGGTGAAAGGGAAATACAAAAATGTACATGCTACCTTTCACATGCTTTTGAAAACAATCGCTTACAACTACACCAGAGGCCCCCATGTTACTAAAAGCACCATCAATAGCACAAACACTAAAAGGCCTGAATGACATTATGCTCAAGTCCAGCTCTATGTAATTCCACGTAAATTACTGGATATGACTCTCATACAAAATGAGAAATGGCAATGGTAGCAGAGAACTGGGACTCCAAGGCAAGGGAAAACCGCGTAATGTATGATTCATTTCCTGTGCCCTGCCGGTCATGACCACCTTCTTCAGACATTCTAGGAACTTGATCTGCCACCTTCAAAGACTCACTCAGCTTTCAAGCCACTAAAGATGGGTGAATCCTCCTAAATTACAGCAGTTGCTCAATTTCTTGTTGGTATAATTATCAGAATCCTCAAACAGAAATCCAGCCATTTTCCAAGAGGATCAGTCAAGTCTTGAACAAAGTCTTTTCTTAATTTCCATACTGACTTTTGCCCAACAGATGTGGAGAGTATCACCTTCTCTTATCCCTTAGCAGGTAAGCTCCCATATATTGTCCCTCTCCAGAACAGAATAACAATACTAATGCAAGGCAAAAAGAATAATGTGGTTGAAGAAATATCAGTGCTGTAATCACAGAAAAGAGGCAAGAAATAGTGTCTAAAACACATTACTTTTTCAAATTATTACCAGGATTTCTCAACTTCCATGTAAAAATTTCTAGATATTGTTAGATACTAAAGTACAGAACAAGAAATGTAAACATCTGGATCACAGCCCTCCTGACTCAGGGGTCGAAGTGTGGACCAACTATAAACTTACTGTCTCAAATTCTTCACCTGTTAAAATGGAGACATCTCTGCCACCTCCCTTAGGCTATTCTGAGGTGAGAGAACGCACAGAATTAAGGGTAAAGCACCATATTAGGTAAAATACTCTTATTGGAAGGCAGCTTTGTTGAAGTGAAAGGGCCGTGAAATGTGCAGCAAGACACAACTTGGGTTCAAATGCTGCCTGTGCTCCCATTAGCTGTTCTGGTGTGTCACGAGCATCGTCCTAGGCTTCAGCCTCATCCTCTGCCAAATGAGGACAATAATTATCTCAGAGGGTTGTGGGGATTAAATAAAAAGCACCTGGCACATACTGCACGCAACGAATGTTAGTGCCTGATTATCAACAAAGCTATTTTTTTTTCCTGCCAAAGCTTTGGCTTTTCAGCTTTGGCTTTAAGCCTTGTGCAAAGGGATTCTAGTTTGTACAAGAGCTTTTCAAAGATTTGCATTTAGGAACACAGTCACGTTATTCAGGGAAGATTATGTTTCAGAAATGCAACTGGTCTCTTAAACTCAAAACTAAGATTGTACTTAACCTCACGGAAAAGCACATGATTTTCAATGTGACACAAATCGTGCTTTTTAAAAGTTTATATTAACAAACCACGAGTTATTCAGCAAGCATGTGACCTACGATCTAAAGTAGGTTCACTTTTCTCTGCAAGCCCCGAGAGCGTAATCAATTTGAAAGCACCTAGATTTTGGAGGGTAAAAGCCTGCCGCAGCCTTCAGGGACGTTAGTCACAAAGCCCTAACTTCTGCCCCATGCCTCGCGGTCCATTGGCTCAGACACGTCTGTTGGAAGCAAAGAGGTGCTTCGGTATGTTCAATTAAACCCATAAGCATGGCTGCTCCCTGAGATGATGTGTCTGAATAGGGGACTTATTTATCTCTTCCCACATCCCCAGCCTAAGTTAGCAGGTTGACAGTAAGGCATCCTTAGCAATGGGAGTTTCTTTCTGCTGGAACGGACCCTGATCCTTTCCTGCCGATTCTGAACTTACTGCCTCCCATGTTAGGAGGACAGACCCCAGGGTGCGTTTTGACCTTGCAAGACATGCAAAACCAACTTTGAGATGCAGAAGTGAGGTGCCCGACCTTACCCTCCGTGGAGTTCCGGAAGGTCTCGGCTCCACCAGCCACCCGTACTTCCGAAGCCAGCACCGCCAGAACCAGCAGCCAAAGGAGCCCCATAGCTGCCCGGGCCGAGCCCCGCAGCACCGCCCACGCTACCCCGGGGCGCTCGCGCCCGGCGTCATCGTTCGCCAGGTACACGCGTCGCAAAACCGCCAGCCCACAGTGCTGGAGAGCAGCCCGGCCGCGCTCCCGCCGCTGCAGGAGGGTCCCCCTTCCGGCGAGTGCCCCGCAACCCGGACCGCGCCTCCGCCCTGCCCCCTACGTCACCGCGGCGGGAGCACTCCGCCTCCTTCCCACCCCCGCCGGCAGCTTGCGCCTCCTGCTGGCGCCCGGCGGACTCGCCGCCCCACCGCCGGGGGCCCCTCGCGGGGGGCAGAGGAGACCCCAGAAAGTTCCGTGATGTTGTAACCTGTACTTCTCACTTTTGTATCTTGCCCACTAACGAAAACCACCGTTAGAGTGGGAAAAAGCCCTGTTGCGGCCTAACGTCTCCAGGCTCCTGTTCTGGTGTTTAACGGTACTTTGCAAAAAGAAAAAAATAATAAGGGAAATCGGGTACTCAAAACGCAACAACAATGATTTCCTCTCGTGGCAATTGCCTTGGCTGCCCAGGCCGATGATAATATGAAAATGCGGGGGCAGTACGCTTCTGGAGTGGTTACTGCGCTGCTGATGAGCATCACATTTAAAAAGTTTCATTTTCTCTAAGCAAAATATCCTCGAAGACTCAAGCCCTGGATCTGACCTTCCTCTCGAATTTTATATCTGAGTGTCGTTTAAAGGACAACAGTCCATGTGGCAGGTGGCTCAGGAGATGATTGTGGAATTAGAGACTCCAAGTTATTTGGGGAAGATCGCCCCGCTTTCTTTTCTGGCTCTTTAAATTGTTCATTTATACCCCTAACCTAAGAACTATCTGAAAATGACATATCCGGTTCATCTACTACTAAGCTAAAAATCGATAGCAATCGCCGTAAATGTTAACAGGCACAACCCTCTGCATGGTCCAAACGTTAATACCTTTGGTAGCAACATCTATTCCTGTGGTGCTTATTCACCGTCCCGCACGCCTCATTCCAGTAATGCTCAGTAGATGAAATCCCAGGATCATGATAAGAGTGGTTATGATAATAAGGGTATCATTTGAATCAGTAGATGGATTATTCTATAAATGGCGTGTAACTGAGTAGCTGTACTGTACTGGGGAGGAAGGATTAGAACTCTATCTTACACTGTTAAAATGAAATCTCAAGTAATAATTAAAACCATAAAAGAGCTGAAGAAAAAAATTTGAAAACCTGATCCCAGAATGGGAGGAACTTTTTTTTTAAAGAGTTTATTTAAGCAAAAATATATTAAAACCTGCAGCACCAAACTGGATGTGGGTAGAAGCATTCAGGGGAGGAACTTTGTGAGCAAAAAAAGCAAAGGAGGCCCTAGAGGAAAAGACTGGTAGACTTGGCTACTTAAAAATGCATATTTTATGAAAGCCACAAAACATCATATATAACAATATGAATAGTCAAGTTGATGACCAAAAAGAAAAGGACATGAATACGGAATTTTACCAAAAAAAAGGAAAGAAGTACAAATGGCCAATAAACATGAAAAAAGTTCAAACTCACTAGTAACAAAACAAATCAAATTAAGAAACCAAGATGTAAAGATTTAAAAAGTATAAGAACACCCAGTGAGGATGAAAGACAAGTCAACATTCTATGATTGGACTATGAGAGGGTAACCTGATACACAACTTTTTAGTGTTATTTGCATGAAAAATGCATAAACAATAACTGAAGCATAAGGAACAACTGTGGTGAAGATCAGCAACAATGAACTTACTCTAGGGTTTCACAGGTTTTATAAAGAAATATTTAAAATAAAGTTTGAAAGCTGAGTGGACAAAGGGAACAGACGGAGGTACGGATGGAGGTGTGATCGTTTCATACAAGGATGAATTACATGTGTCTTATATGGTGTGCGCAGAAGTGTGAAACAGCAGAGCATAGGGAATTGCAAGATGTTTACTATAGCAAATGCTTATGTATAGTATTTCAGTCCAGTGCTTGGAACATTTTAGATGTTTAATAAACTGTGACTGAGTAAGTAACAAAGGTAGTTAAGGATCTAGAATGTCAAGTTAAAGAATTCTTAAAGATTCTTTTTCTGAAAAAATAGAGTCACTATTAAAAGAATCAGAATACCACAAGATTGGCTATAATTTGGTAAATGAAGCTGGGTTATGGGTATACCAAAATTCATACTGTTCTACTTTTGTATATGTTTGCAACTTTTAATAATGTAAAGTTTAAAAGAACATACCAAAATTATGTGTTTAAAAGATATGAGCTCAGTAATACTTGGTTTCTGTTTTTAAAACCATTATAATCCAGCTGGGAATGCAAGAAAGGCAAATAAAGAAGCATATGAAAAAGTGTCAAATCATGAAGAGAAGAAAGAAGAGGCCTGTGTGGGCCTTAATACTTCATAAAAGTTACTTGAAAAGGTAAGACTTTAAAAGATAGACTATGAATTAAATATCAGCAAAGAAATTAATTTCATAAAGAGTGAGGAAAGAGTTCAGTGGTTCTTAATTGGGGGAAGTCTCCCCCTGCCCCCCAAGATATTTGGGACTATCTGGAGATATTTTGTGTTGTCACAACTGGAGATGGGTTGGCTACTATCTCATGCAGAGATGCTGTTAAACATTGTCCAGTACACAGGACAGCCCCTCAGCACCAAGAAAACCCAGCCTAAATGTTACCAGTGCCACTTTCGAGAAATCTCGAGCTGGACACTGAAGGTGTTTTTGGCAGGGTTATTTTCCAAAGGCCACAGCTTCAAGAGATTCATAAGACCTTGATGAATGTGTGCAAAATTCTGAGAGCCTTTCCTGGGGAAAGCGTTCACAGTTTTCAACCAATTCTTAAAAGGGTCTATGGCCAGAAGAGGCTTAAGAAGACAAGGAAAACCAAGGATCACTGGCCATGGCTGAATAATCTGAAGTGATTATTTCACTTGGAAAATTATTGGGAGAGGAGACTGGATCTGTTTGCTAGGGCCAGATCATACTGAACCTTAAAAACCAGGCAGCGATGGCTGGACATCAACCTGAGGTCTCTGTGGAGCTACTGAAAACCTGCGGGGAAGATAACGACAGGACAAAAGCTGGGCCATAATATGAGTTGTCTTGAACTGGTTTCTCTATCCCAGGGCCCAAGTTCTCTTCAATCCGGGTACTAAATATTATTCTTTAGTGGGCTCTCTCATTCATCCCTCTGTATCCAATCAGGCACCAATCCATGTTAATTTTTGCTTCAAAATTAGCCTTTTTTCTTTTCTAATCAGGGTCAACATCCTAGTCTAGGTCCTATTCATCTCATTTTGAGTAACTACAAAACCTTACTCCCAGTGAGCCCCCTGGCTTATTCATCTTTGCCAACGCAGCAGTCAACATGGTTCCTGGCACATGGCAGGCATTCAGTAAGGTACAATCTCAACTGGGGGTGAGAGGAGAAAGTCACAAGATTACCCCATATTAGAGTTAAAGCAAATGAGAGTCCTCTCTCATTAATCCCTTTATGGGAGGGCACTCACCTAATTAGGTTCTAGCAGGTATGTAGATTGGGGATCTGTGGGGTGGAGGACGGTGGGAAGTAGAAATGGAACTTCCAGTGGAGAGTTGAAGTAAATCCAACAAGCAGAGTTCCCAAAGGATAGTTTCTGCTACACTCCCCCAACCCCAGGGGGGTAATTAGGGATAATCAGCCCAGAAAGGAGGGTATATGAGTTCTTCCCAAGTCCACAAACTATCATTTGCTGTTAGTAAGTAGGCTTATATCTTTTCCTGTCTAACCTTCCTTAAATACCAAGTTTCTATTACCACTCTTCACACCTAAACCCTCAATAGGTCCCAAGTCTAAATCTAAATTGCACACCTTATCTTTTTAAAAACTGAACCTGCCCGACCTACTCTGCTGGAACCTCCTCTCTTCTGACTACACACTGTGCAACCTCCACTCTCCTCTCCACTAACCCTCCTCTGTTCCTCGCGCTGAATTCCTTGCTGTCACACAAACAAGAGATGCTTTTAAATTATCTACACTCACACCTTAACTCTTAACTCCACCTGCTCTTCTCTAATCTTAGCCCGCAAGACCTCCGTTTTCCTGCACTCTTCTGACAAGTCAATACAGTTAGTGTAGTAGTTGTTTCGGACGCTTTCTATCTTACGTATCAGCTTCCCCTGCACACCCACACTAAAGAAATTAAAGCACCCTGTCTCCGCTTGGGTAAGGCCTTCTGCACCCACCCAAAGCAACAGAGGGGCACCCCAGCCTAGCCTTTCCTGATTGCCTGGTGAATTTTAATTTGGATTTGTTGAAGTTAGAGTCGGTATCCTGAATCCCAAGCATTTTTGTTTGCTTGCTGCGTACGTTTTTGTGGTCCACCTAGAAAGCAAGAGCAATGTTAAATTAGTTCGAGATGTTTAAAAATGAATACAAGGTAAAGTAGGGAAATTTGCTCTATAAAAACACAGAACCTAACAATCTCCGTAAAGGGTTTAACACAAAGAGGTTTAACACCTCGAGATCCGGATGTTGGCCTCAAAAGCGAGTTGCGCCCCAGCTACCCACCCACAAATTACTCAAATGAGGCCCCGAGAATGCTTTAGCCACACGCGGATCTAGTCTAAATAAAGCCTCAGGAAAGCCCCACCCACTCCTCGCGGCGCGTGCAGTTTCTATTGACTCCACCCCTTCCAGGAATGCAGCCCTGTGATTGGCCACGACTGCCCTGGAGGCCCCCAATCGCAAACGAGCAGTTGCTCCAGCGTCCCGTCGCTTGCGGGAGGAACATGGCGGATCGGCTCACACAGCTGCAGGACGCTGTGAACTCGGTGAGCCATTTCTCTCGCTTAGTCTCAGTCGGCCTCTCTCCTGAGGTAAACCAGGGAGGAAAAGGGGCCGGGGAGGCCGAACCCAGAAGTGGGGGCCAGACTGGCCCGTGGTTCGGCAAAACACGCTCGCGGCGGCGGGAGGCGGCGCCTGGGAGGTTTGAGGCCGGCTGCGGGCGGGAACAGCCTCTGCGCCTGAGAAGTGGGGAATCTCCCCCCCGGGACCTAACGCCTCCCGGCCTCTCCTGCCCTCCAGGAACAGCCTTCCGTTCTTGCCAGTGGTGCCAGGGGACAGGGGAACGCGGCAGCAGGTGCTTCTTCCTCACCACTTCCAGCCCGCGAGGCTGCCCGTGCGCTTCACGGTCGCATCTTTGTCCTTAAATGTTAGCGGAGAGTATTGCCTTCGCTCCAACTTTCTTGTTCGGGCGGCAGGGTGGTGAGCTAAGTTGTAGCTTAGTTGTTGCCAATAGACAAAGGGTCTCGGCCCACCTCTTGGCCACGCCCCAGCGCAAATCAGTTCGAGGAGAGCTGACATCTTGATGACAGTGTGCAATGTCCCCCCAAAACGTCCGCCCCCTAGTAAAGGTCAGATCTTGTAAGTAGCCTCCTTAACTTTGATCCTTCTGATTATTTTTCCCGTAAAGCCTAAGTGGAAAGGGTGTGCACGTCAAAGGATTCATAGACTTATTGCATTAAGCGTTAAAATAGTTTTCAATTTAGAATTTTTATTTCTCATTTTCGTTATATTTATAATGTGATGTCCCAGGCAAGATGCCTGTAGAAAGAAAATACGTTGGCTGGAAAATCTTAAGGACTTGGTGCCTTGCCAGTGTTTTCTCTCACTGGAAACCAAGAAGTTGGGATTCTTGGTAATACCTCAGTCTCTGCATGCTTCGAAAGTGTGAATCTACCTGTGGGAAACTTACCTGCTCGGTGTGTGAATAAAATACGACCTTCCAAGGCTGACTGGGCCAGCCCCTAATGGTGATGAATTCACCAAGATAAGTTCTACCTTCTGGTGACTTGCCTGGGCTGCCAGCCAATCTCCCTCTGGAAGATACTCCTTTGAGGTTTTAAATAATCAAATTGTAATGGTGCCACAGGATAGAATTATTATTTTAGGGGAAATGTCTAAATGTTCACACACGTCTTGTAACCAGAGGATAAATAGTAAGGACAGTGAATATGGCCTTACCTCAAAGTGGGCATGTTGATAATTGGATTTTGGAGCAAAGCCTCAAGTTTAACTAGAATGAGCTCCTACTGTGAATGTAAGCACCATTATGTTTACCGAGAGTACTCCTTAAGGAGTTTGCAGTCTGATTGGGAAGATGTCATGTACTCAAGAGACATTTAAACAATGCAAAAGCAGTATGCGGTTACGGAGTATGAATCGAGTGTTTTCAGCCGTAATGTAAGTGCTGAAGTACATCGGAATATAGAATGATAGGAATTAAATTAGGAAGCCTTTGTAACATTTATCTGAATCGTAATTATTTGCAAAATTTTTAAATAACGTTTGTTTCTTTTTCTGAGAACTCCATGAGGTTAGAAAACATGTCGTGTTCACTCTGTCTCTATAATATCTATATGCATTGCTTGTCATAGAACTGATTTTTAAAAAATATTTGTTGAATAAATCTGGAGAGCTTTTGAAGGACAAAGCAGATAGCCACTGTGTAGTATATTTTTGTGTATATTCTCTCTTGTTTCTCATAACAATGCTATAATATGAGAGTGTTTCCTATTTAAAAATGAAAAACCTACTCAGTTTACTAGAACCAGAACTAGAATCTACGTTTGTACCGCTTCTGAGCGCCTACTGCTGCTCCATTACAAGTAGCAAAATGTGAGCAAGGCATCGTAGTCAGGAATGAATTTATTACCTGTGGGGTATATGTGAGTAGTAGTAGAAAATGAGTAAGTAGAGGTGACTTAGATTATTGGAAACTTTGAAACAACCTGAAGAGTTGGAAATTTATCTTAAAGATGATGTGGGGGTGAGCTGAAAATTTTTGAGAAGGGTAAAATAACTGAACTGGAAAATAGTAGGGAAGTTACTGTAACAATACTGGTGTGAGATAGTTGATTAAACTAACACAACAGTCACAACATCACAACAGTAATGATAGAAGGAAAAGGGAAAGTGGTATTTTTAGGATATGAAGATGAAAGAATCTGAAGTTAGACTAGTTGACTAGGAGATTCCCAATACAAATTAGGTAATAAACAAAGGAAACAGTTGACTTTGAGTTCTGTCATTCAGATAATGGCAAAGAAACTTAGAGGAGATGCTTATTCATTGATTGGAAATAAGAAATTGAGGTTTGAGAGGTCCGGACTATGGAGAGAAGTTGGTGGGGATGACAGGAGTCTTAAATTTGGACATGGTAAGGACCTGGTATTCTCAATCTTCAAAATTGCTTAAGGAATACTTCTAGAACACCAGGATTTTACAGCTTGTGTCATGGAGAAAACCATTTCTAAATACTTTAAGTTCAGTCTTTTTTTTAAATTGAGATATCACTGACATATAGCATGTTATTTTCAAGTGTACAACATAATGATTCGGTATTTGTATATATGGAGAAATGATCACAGTTATAGTTAACATATGGCACCATACATGCATAGTTACAAAGTTACAAATATTTTTCTTGTGATGAGAACTCTAAGGTTTACTCTCAGCATCTTTGAAATATGCAATACAATATTAACCACAGACCCATACTATACATTAATTACATCCTTGTGACTTATTTTTTTTATAATTGAAAATTTGTACCTTTTAACCCTCTTCATCCGTTTAGCCCACCCGCACCCCCTCACCCTACTTCTGGCGACCACCAATCTGTTCTCTGGTTTTATTTTGTTTTTTGGATTCCACATTTAAATGAAGTCATACAGTATTTACTTTCTCTGCCTGACTGACTTCACTTAGCATAATGACCTCAAGGTCAGTCCTTGTTGCTGCAAATGGGAAGTGTTCCTTCTATTTTTTTTATGGCTGAGTAATATTCCCTCTATACACACATAATACACACCACAATTCTTTATCCATTCATCCATCTATGGCCACTTAGGTTATGTCCATGTCTTCTTAAGTGGGATCTTTTTTCCACAATTTCTTTATGCTTGTAACTCCTCTGAGTTCAGAAATGGATCATATGCTCTGTACCTGAGTCACACATTTTTTCATTTATTGTGGGACCACACTTAGATTGCCAATTCACTTTGCTCTTTCCTATCACTATTACCCTCCAAACAGCCCCTGCTTGTGCTTGCATATATTTATGTGTAACATAGGCACTATGACTATGCTCAGGTCACTATCATCATGCTTGTGGGTAACGAGTGACCTCAACCAGGCCCGGAAGGTGCCCAGGAAGAGGCTCACATTGTCACTGAAAACAATGGGCTGCTATTCCTGGGGACCTCAGCCCTGGATTCCACCATTGTTGAGCTGGCATTTGAAACTGTCTCAAAGAGATTTTTGCAAAGGTGTCCAAGCAAAAGCAGAACAGTCCCTGGACCAGTGCCATCTCCTCTGGGCAGTACTTACCTGGGGCAGGAGCTGGGCTCTGGCAAGAGAAGGACCTTGGCTGGTACCAGCTCTGCCCCCACTGGTTTTGTGGTGCCCCCTACCTCACCCCAGCTCCAGTACCTTTCCTTGCCCTGTGGTTTCAGCTGTCAGAGTGACCAGTTCCCTGTTCACAGCCCTGCAGCAAAGGTCTTTCTGTCCCCACAACATATCTCTGTTATCTGTCCATCCACTCACAGACTGTGGCCCACAAATAAAGCTGTGTTTTGTATTAAAAATTTTTTTTTTGCATGTATATGTGTGCTTGGCATAGATTTCTCTTATCATTCTATTATCTTGGGAAGAAAAGAGATTATTTTATATTTCTTTTTAACTAGATTGATACCAAATGTTAGTATCTTAAAAATAACTAGTTGAACATCTAGTTTCAACTCAGTTAATACCAAACCTAGTTTCTTTGTCTGTTTAAAATACTTAATCATTGTTTATAATAACTGGCTTATCCAGAATTTCTCCTTTGTGTTTTATTCCCTTGTTCCGAGATCATAATTGTAGAAACTTGTTGCTTTTACCAATAAAAGCCTTAAGATTGATGCATCCTTTCTGACTTTTATGTTTCTTGGGCCTCAAGCTTGCAGATCAGTTCTGTAACGCCATCGGAGTGCTGCAGCAGTGTGGGCCCCCTGCCTCCTTCAGTAACGTTCAGACAGCAGTTAACAAAGATCAGCCAGCTAGTCCTACAGAAGGTAAATAAAGTTTCTTGGCTTTTCTTAGTTTGACTCTCTGTGCTACTTGTAATCCCTCAAAATTAGGTTTATTGAGAAATTCAACTTGTGGATGGCTTTCTTAAAATGTCATTATTGAGAATATTCCAAGTTTTGATTGTCATAAAGAAATCAATTTGTTACAGTCAATTTACATAACATCTGATAATTCTGTTCATGTCAAATAATAGGTTGTTATTCCCTTCGAGGAGGATTTGTATGTATTTAGCTGGATTTTAGTTGTAAGACCTTAATAAGAAAGGTGTCCCATTTATAAATTCCTTTATTCAAGTGATCACTATATTGTCCTAAACAATGAAATGATATACATTATGCTTAAATCCTAATTTAAGTTAATATTAAAGCTAATTCTTAAACATGTGATAGGATTGGTGTGTTAAAATTACTTGTATTCTGCATATGAAAATAAATGCATAGCCATTAAAAAAAAATTGCTTGTTATTCAAAGCCCAGTACAGAAAAAGTATGTGAAGTTTTCTGGTTTCATTAATTTAAAATTTAATTTCTGTTTCTAAAACTTTCAGATTCTCTAATATCCTAAATTAGTAATATCTTTCTCTAGAATATGCCCAGCTTTTTGCAGCACTGATTGCACGAACAGCCAAAGACATCGATGTTTTGATAGATTCCTTACCCAGTGAAGAATCTACAGCTGCTTTACAGGTACAGAGTTCTTTTCCTTTAGAACTTGGCTAGAAGAGAATTTTGAAATGGAGAGAGACTTCATACCTTTTGTTATAATAATCAAGTAAATTTAAATTTTACTTTGATTAAATTTACAGATGCATTTTAAAATGGGAGTTTTATTAATTGTGAACTAGTGTAGTCTGTTAAACACTGCAAATATATATAGTTTGATTTTGAGTTCTAAGGAAATTTCCCATTTTCCCCAATTTGGCTGTTTCCAAGCAGAGAATGAGAGGAGGGTGATGTCCTGGATGTGAAGTATAGTAGTGTTCAAAGCAATGTGGAAGTGAGTCACATACAGACATCCAGAAATTGCTAACTGAAAGTTCATTTTTTTAAATAATTCATACAAAGAAAATGCTTCAAAGTTAACTGATTTTAAATTTCTGCCACTGAAAAATCTACAGTACTTGCGTGATTATTGGGATGTAAAAGTAAATACTTCTACTGCAGTTGCTTTCCTTCTCAGCTCTTACTAATCTCCAAATTTTTCATTTCTCAAAAAATTTTATTTATTTCTGTCTTATAAAGGCTGCTAGCTTGTATAAGCTAGAAGAAGAAAACCACGAAGCTGCTACATGTCTGGAAGATGTTGTTTATCGAGGGGACATGCTTCTGGAAAAGATACAAAGTGCACTTGCTGATATTGCGCAGTCACAGCTGAAGACAAGAAGTGGTACCCACAGCCAGGCTGTTCCAGACTCATAGTACCTGAGCCTACCCAGGGGCCGAGAAAAGGACTATTCCAATGCCATTAAGAATTCTGCATCAGTTTAGATGTAAGCCTTACCAACAGTTACAGGAACAGTAAGCACTATGATACGTGTTATCTTTTTAGCTATTTTTAATAGTCTTCTATTTTCACTCTTGATAAATAAGCCCCCAAATTGTGACTGAATCAGTTTAAACCATCGTTCTACCAAAATTTTTTATTATCTGAAATTATTGAGGCAGATACTGCATTAATGGTCATATAATTAAACTGATGTATTATAGAACTCTGTTGTGATATAATTCTATCTTTAGTTTTGTCATATTTCTACAATCGTTTTACAAATCAGAACAATCCTCAAGCAGAGGAGAGGTGGCAAGTTCAGAGAGATGAGACATCCCAATTTAGGCTGATGTTCTTCTGCTTCTTAAAAGGTGACACTATATAAAAATTTTTATATAAATTTGGGGATCTTGAGCAAGGCAAGTTTCTGAAACTATGTTGCTGTTAAGAAGCAGGATTTATTTGACTGGATGAGAGATTCAGTTACTTTTATGGAAATGTTTCCCTCTTTTTCCAGAACCTCATAGCCATTCTAGTTAAATCTCCATACTTGTTTCTACTAAGAAATCCTCTTTTCTTTGAATTTCGTGCTATTGTGAGGAGATTTTTCTTCATCCTGAACTATTGATTCTCATATCTTTTCGCCTGCTCTTTTTGTTCTCAATTTGCATTGTGAAGTATGTTCCCTGGGTCCTCGATTCCTTCTCATTCTTTTAAGTCCTCGATTCCTTCTCATTCTTTTAATTTAACTGAAAGTTCTATCTTCTGATTTTGTTAACCTCTCAGCATTTACTGTTGTATTCTGATCTTACTAGAACATGCTTCCACTCTATCTGTTACTTTAATATCATTTTCTCCATTCCACCTTAGTTTGTTATTGCTAACATTTATGTCACTATTACCAAGTATGATTATACATCAAACTCCTGGATTTCCTTGAATCCACTGAAAGCTGGAGTTGAAATGTTGTCCACATTTTAACTGGTTCTATCTCCTAGGGCTACATTTTTCAGAATATCTTCAGGTACATATATTTCCTGCAATGTGTTACTACCCAGAATTTAAGAAAGTGCAAGAACAATAGACATTCTGCCTGTTATTCCTATCATAATCAAGCTCTTTCACAGTTCTTGAAATACACTGCTTATTTATTTTAGAAGCACATTTTAACTCGAATAATACAATTTATAGAATCATTTAATTTATTTAAAGTTACGTTAAATCTTATCCATACTAATAGATATTTCATATGTTAGGCTTATTGTCAGTGACATCACTTAAAATGCATTTTATTTTAAAACACTGGCATGAGGTAGAAGATAAGAAACTCACAAAAGGAAGTAATCTTCAAAGTACTGAACCCTCTTCAATACAGTTAGCCCTGAGAAGAAAAGTTAACAACCTTAAACTGGTACACTGACTATTCTTAAAACACTACCTTTGCTTGAGAGAAATTTCTTACATTGAAGTTGTCTTTTTTTTAAATCCCTGATTGAAAGTATTACAAAAAAAGACAATACATATTCTGAAAAGTTCATAAAGATTGTATAACGTAATTCATAGAGAGTGTATGCAGCTCTTCTCCTAACCATTTTTGTGAACATGACCATTAGGTCAGGAGGTCCTTAAAGCTGAAATGGTGAATGTATGGGCAGTGGTGATCTTGCTGCTTAGTACACAGCTTTGGGAGGACTGGAACCAGTCGATGTCTGTGTCTTTCATCCCCTGATCCGTCTTTTCCCTTTACCCAGATCTAAGTTGTTTTAAGGAGAAAAATCCTTAGAGGTGGGGCCACAGTCTTTCTCCCTAAAGGAATTTTCTGGAGACCTTGGAAAGGAGGGACATAAAACTTCATGGCTTTGTTGGATATAAATGCCCAAGTGACTATCATACTGCCATACTTCGTCCAGTGGGGAGAAGGGGCATCCGAGTTCAACTCGGGCTGTGGTCTGGGCAAAGTAACCAGTGAGGGGCCTTGCTGTGGTCATAGCTTCTACTGTGAATGTGTTACTGGAATGGACGTCCTGTGTGCTTGTAATTCTCCCTCATGTCAGAGAAAATATCCCATCCAGGACATGCTAAGTGTAGAGAGGTAGTAAGTAGTGTGACTTGTAAAACAATCCGGCAGCCCATCCCTCTGTCCTTTGCCTTTGGGGCATCTTGCCACTGACAGTTTACTTGAACCCTGTGCTCCTGGAAAACAGTAGCAGTTAAGAAATCCCTGTATCCTATTGTATTCCAGGAAATAGCTTGCTGCAAAGAACCGTCCTTTCCCCATGTGACTTAAGACCTATTGGATAACCCTTTTGTATACTTACGACAGAGCCAGACCCAGACCCTCCAAATTCCCATTCTTTATTTCATAAATAATTAGTTTAGCTATTTTTACCCAAAAATGGAGTACAAAAGACCAGTACAGACAGAATGCCCTCTAACTTGACTTGATCAAACTTTAGTCTTCTCCCCAAGCTCCTGAACTTTAATCCACCCTCAGCCTGAGCTAACACTGGAATGTGGAATAATCTCAAAGATACCCTAAAAATTCACTGACCACATAAAAAGACATTCCCTAACCAACTGTCCCATTATGTCACCTACTCACTACCTCGCCCAGATTTTTCTATCCTTGTTTCCTTCTTCCTATTAAAAAAAAGCCCTTACTCACCTGATCATTAAGATGCTTGCACATCTATGGTCAGAGCATTTTCCGTTACTATAGTAGTTACTATAGTCTCCCTGCCCCTCTTGTGGTATTTTCCTCTCTCCCTATTGCCATATTTTCAAACAAACTCTTCCTGTACTTAACTTTGGATTTGTTTTCACTTGACAAGATACACTTATATAGAAAAAAATCCTATTGATGCTCATCAGATAACCCCAGGGCTAAGGATGGGGCAAAGGGGGTGGAGGTACTTACTGTGAAGTAGTAAGAAATCTCTCTCTGACTCAGAACAACTTGTGTGTACATTCAGGATAATGTTAAGATGAGTAGTAAAAACTATGAGCAGGGATCAAAAAGGAAATCATAATAGAGATTGGGATAATTCAAAACTTACTGAAAACAAACTACATACAGAAACTTGTGGCATTCCATCCACTAAGACAACATGTAGGAGAAAATGCATTACCTTCCTTACTTACATTAGAAGAAAATTTGAAAATTAATGAGCTAAGCTTTCAACTGAAAGAAAGAAAGAAGTAAATAATAAAAGCAACAGAAGAAATTAAGAAAACTGATGCAGCAACACTATAAGGAAAGCCCAAAGTTGAGATTCAAGAATAATAATAAAGTTGACAACTTAGGCAAATGTGATCAAGGAAAGAAGAGAAATGGCTTAAGTAAACAATATGAAGAATTGAAGAAAAAGTTATGTTTTTTAAAATATTAAGGGAATACCTGAGTAACTTTATGCCAGTGAACTTAAAATTTTGATAAAAAGGATGTATTCCTAGAAAAAAAACTTAGCAAGTAGGGTCAAGAAGATACAAAAATCATAGTCCTTCAACCTTTAAAGAAATTCAGTCAATAGTCAAAACTCCCACAGAGCACCAAACCTAGAAAGTTTTATTAGTTTTATTAAATATTCAGAGAAAAAAATTAGTTTTACACAAAACATAGTTCATTACCAAAATTACAAGGAGACATTGCAAAAAAAATTACAACTGATCTCTTCAACTGATCTCTTTCATGAACGTGCAATAATACTGGCATGTTAAAGCTAGTGGGTATTAAAAAATCGAATATATCACAAATCTGTTTAATTCCAAGCATGCATGGCAGTTCTGTCTTTTAAATTATTTTGTTTTTTATCAACTCTTAAGATGCCCACTTTTTTTTCTAATTGTATCCTAAGGTGGAATAGTCAATGGTCAACTGTTTTTTCCATATTGAAACATAAAATAATGCTGTGTTTTACAGTTAATGGAATCTTTGATCTGATTAAGAGTAGTAATTTGTCATTAATAGATTAGATTAAAATCAATCATATCATCTGACTTGATGCAGGATAAGTATTTGATAAAATTCATTTATGAAAAAACTTGGCAAAGGGAAACAGTTTTTAAAATGTGAAAATATCTTATAAAATATAGGGGATATCATAGTGAAAGTTCAAATACATTCCCTTAAAGTTTGGGAACAAGACAAAAGCTGCCTGCAATAATCACATCTCATTTTTGTGCTGATAGCTCTAACCAATATATTTCAAAGAAAAGTAAAAGTTACAAGATTAAAAAAATAGAAACAAAATCCTTACTGTTTAAAGTTGAAATAAGTATATGAAGAGAAAAAATCAAGATTCTATAGGTAAATTTCGGAAAGGTTTTGGACATAAAAACCACAACATGTCAGCAACAAGTGTTAAGAAAAAGACTTTTTAAAAAACATTTTCAATAGAATAAAAATGAGATTTCAAGGAATAGATACAATGAAGATGTAAGATATTTAGGGAAAAAATAACAAAAAATTAAGGAAAAAATTTAAAACTGTTTAAAAACATTTTTAAAAACCTTAATGGGAGTAATACCATGTTTGTGGAGCAGAAGAGTCAGTATTATAAATGTGCCCATTTTGCTCAACTGGTTGATAGTTTTATACAATTTTAAGTTCCCAACTGGGATTTTTGTGAAAATTGACAGGTATTTTAAAAAATTATATAGAAGTATTAAGTGCTGATGGAAATCAGGATACTCATGAGGAAAGAGAATGATAGTTTTCTTTGATAGTAAGTAGTAGTAAATGTTAGGGTCTGAATAGACAAATAGAACAAATGGAGGAGAATTAGGGAACCTAACGAAAATACACAGATATGAAAACTTGATTTGTCGGGAAGATGATGTTACAAATCACTGGGTAAAGAATAGACATGGTGCTGGAACATTGGTTATACATATGCCATATGTTAAAATGAATGCCTATGGGGTTTCTTTTGGGTGATGAAAATGTCCTGGTCTTAGGTAGTGATGAACAACTGAATCTACTGAAAACACTGAATTATGTACTTGAAAAGGGTGAATTTTATGGTACATGAATTAATCTCAAAACCATTATAAAAGAAAAAATACGTCAGGTGGATTAAATACATGTGAAGGGCAAGTATCTAAAAGACATTAATTGGAAAATACCAGTGACTTCAGGGTTAAGAAAGGATTTTAAAAAAATAAATACAAAAAGTTCATAAAAAGGAAAAAAAATTGCAATAAATATGTCTCATACACTGGTTC